TAAGCAGGGCTGCAAGCTGGCTGATAAGTTGTTGTTCTGAAGATAACGGTCCTTTTTAGCAGAGTGTTTGACCTTTTTCTTTATATTGCCTCAGGCTTGTCTAAGACCCTCAAGGTCTATTTTTCATCTTAAAATTCTCTGTAGGAAAGCACAATGTGTGGTTTAAGAAGATTTTAGGATTGCTTAACATATCTATATTTTTCTAGCATTTTTATGATAATTGTTAAAATGCATAGTAAGTTTAGCTAGTGTTTTCTTAAACAGGTTTTCCTTCTTTGTGTAAAGTATACTTACTATTGATGTAGGAAGCAATATATGTTAATATTTTATGAGGACTAAGTGTGTGTTGCATGATTAATAAATAGTAACATGTTTTTTCCCTGACTTTTATAGAAACTTGAAACGTGTCATTGACCCCTTTTACTACTTGCATTTTGAGAGCATTGCACTAAACATTACTCTGTAAAGCAAATATAATTAAAAATTTCAGCTTGAATGATTAAAGAAAAGGATGTCTCTTCTTTTCTCAGCATGTAAAGAGTATTGAACAGAACTGTGACTGAAAATTGAGCATGTCTTAAAAACAAACCTCAGGGAGACCTCAGGGCTAAGTGAAAGTCAGTTTATAGACATTTGGGAACCTAATTTGTTCACATCTTCCTTCGAGTTTAAAACAAAATCTGTGCCAGTATTTCTGTAAAGTAAAATAATAGGGGAAAAAACCCACAACTATTCTCAGAGTGACCAACTCCATAATGGTTTGTAAAGTGCTGACTACTTCAGCAAATTGTTTATTTTACTTTTAAGATAGTCAGTGATTTCACAACCACAAGTGCACCCAAGCTGTAAGAAGAGAAATAAAATAAGAAATATCTTAAAATGTCAAAATTCTAATCTTACTGCTTAATTTGTTGTTTTCCTCTGCAGACCACATTATTTCATTAATAATGGTATTTAAGATAAATATAAAATTAAAATCTTACCTTTTACACAGTTATTCACAAAATATGCAAATCACAAACTATACAGTGGTGATCCCTTAAAATCTCCTAGTTTCTAATGCTATGTTATATTTCAATCCTACACATAATTCTCACACATTAGAATATATTTATTTCTCAGGATCACTGTGAAATTGTTAACTTCAATTATGATTAATGTTGGGAGGCTTCTTTCTTTGATACAAAAAAAAAAAAAGTTGTTCATTTTTTATGAAGCATATATGAAAGTCAGGAAGTGTTTTGTTCTTGCAGTTCTAGGCTTCTTTGTACCAAAACTGCTGTCTTGTTTAGTGACATTGCTATGTGGGTTGAAATTAGGCTGACAGATTGTGAGCAAAGGCTGTGGTACCATGAACAATAGCCTATTGAGCATGAGGAACTTGTTGAATTGGTTACCAGAGGCATTAGTGTTAGGTCCAGCCTATTTAGCATCTGGAAGACAGAAGAAATACTGTGCTAATGGAAAGTACAAATGATACTAAACTGCACATGGCTGCAGGTGACTGCAGCAGCTGAGTTGTATTGTGCAGGAAACTAGTAAGGAGCAGTTCTGAAGGCAATGGCAATAAAGTGGGATACAACTCACAAAAGGAAAATACTGCATTAAGCAGGTAAGTATTCAAAGCAAGTATTTGGGATAAATAGAATAAAGTGGTGTTGGGAGTCTTTGGGAAATCCTTCACACAGTGCTGCAGCTGCTGCTGGATTTGAGTTGAGTATGTAGTTCTCCCAGGGCAGACTGGGACCAGCTTTTCACCATCAGTGAATTCACTGACCAGTTCTAGTTCAGGAATCCTCTGGGCTATGCAAAAAAAGTAGCTCTGAGTGAGCAAACTGTCCCTGGAACAGTTTAGATCAGTTTGATATTAAAACAGAAGCTGAGGTATGTGATAGGTCAGAAATCAAGATTTCCTTTTGCTCTGTTTTCATTTATTCACTCAATCTTTTAGTTTTCCATGGCTTGCAGTTGAAGTTCTTAATGATCTTTGCACTTAAGTAAAAACATTAAATTTTGTTTGGAAATCTTTCCATCAGATTTTGTGCCTGCTGTTTTGTGCTGTATTTGTTCTGCATGGGGGGTTACTGGAAACATTGGAGGCTTTTACACATTGTGGTTTACAAGCAGGACCTATTCCACAGCCTGTATTCATCCAGCTTTCTGCCTTCATGTTGGAAGATCTATCAGTACTGCACAGACCACTTGAGTTGCCATGACTCTGGGTGCCTATGCATTAAACTATGTCCAGAGAGGGCTTGTGACCCGTGACCTGAAGAGTGGCCTGTTCCTATTCTTGTTTCCCTGTGACCCTATGTGAGGTAACTGGAATCCAACCTATGCTGCTACACAGCTCAGACCACCCAGCTGTACTCTCACTGCCCTTCCTCAACAGGAGGGGGAGAAAACAAGATGAAAAATCTCATGGCTTGAGACAAAGACAGGGAGGTCAGCTAGCAATTACCATCAAAGGCAAAATGGAGTCGATGAGAAGAAAACTTTTAAATTTATTGCCAATTAAAATAGGGTTGGATAGCGAGTGAGAAAGACAAATTAAGTACCACCTTTCCCCACCCCTCCCTCTTTCCCAGGATCATTCATTCCTGCCCCACAATGAGTGGCACAGGGCCATGGAGAAGGGCAGGTTCTCAGTTTCTAACAGCACCTCTGTGCTCCGTTTTTATCCCTGCATGTTTCCCTGATGTGGCGTGCATCCTGCGCAGGCAGCCGGGCCTTCAGGGATCAGCCCCCTGCTCCTGTGTGCTCCCTGTGCAGGCTGCAGGTTGTCTGGCCCTTGGCACCTGGAGCACCCATCAATGCCTCCTCCTCTGGTTGTGGTGCTTGCAGGGTTGCTCCTTATCTGTTCCCTCAGCCTGTGTGCCATGTTTTGCCCTTCCTTGAGCACTCCTTCACCCCTTGCATTGCTGAGAGGCCTGGCCATATGCTGAGGAGGGGCTGTTGGAGCAGGCCCAGTATCTCCTCACCGCAGTCCCTGCACAGCAGGTGATGTTATCAGTGTTTGCAAAAGATATTCTTGCTGCACAGTGTAGCTTTTCTTCCCCCCAAATATTTCTAATTCCAAATGTATCCTTCAGGCAAGTGGTTAGAAACAGATTGTTAGCATGAAGAGGTTTTCTGAAGTGGGAATCAGTGAGAAGAATCTTCCTCTGAAAAGGAGGCTGTGGGCAGTAAAGTAGAGGATAACATTAAAAATAGGGAAAGTTAAAAGTGCTTGCTGTTCAACTGGTAAAGTCAGTAACAATTTAATGAAGGAATTCTACAGATGTATTGCTGAACAGATTTGAATGTTATTTACTGCTTCTTCACCCCAAAACAGCTGATGATCCAAATTTTCCTACTTCTGCTCATGTTTAGTAGCATGCTGCTGATGATCAGCTATACTGACTGAGATGAGACTTGCTGAGAAGGAAGTTGTTTAGTTTCAATGATGTTATAAGTAACTATTTGAACAGCATATATCCAACTTGGGAATATATACTTAAATCCACAAATACATCTGAAACTGCAACAACAGATTGGGTCATCTTATAGTTCTAGTTAGTTTTACAGGCATAAATTGTAACAGAGCAAAGTTCAAATTATAAGGTGTGATATAATGGTATTTGTTTTGGATGAGGAAAATGTGAAGCTTTGTTTTTGAATTAGTGTTTTTGTAGTCCACTGTGAAGTGGACAGCCTAAATCCTGTATTATATATCCTAGCACATCTCAAAGGAAAAATGCCAAAATTTAGCAACTTAAAACCACTTAGCAAGTTTTCCGAGTGCTGAACTTCACTTCTGCAGACTGTGTGGTTGCTTGCTGAATAATGCTGTGGGGGACAGTTTGGCTTTGACTACATTTAAAATTTTTATTCCATGAAATTCACCAAGAAAAAAATGAAGGCTTGTAGCCTCATTTGTTTTGTAGAAGGAGGTGTTACTGTCCCCATATTGTAAAGAAGTATTAAGATGGCTTTTGAATCATGGAAAATGTAAGGTCCTTGCCATCTGAGGGAAGAGTGGGACAGTGAGCACCAGCTAGATGTGCTGGGTGAAAATCTGAGGCTTTCAGAGTTGCTCTAACATGAGCAGCAAATGGAAGGAAAGAAATCCGTGCAAAAGGGACCTGAAAGAGATTTAGAGATTATTTTTTTCCACAAAGTGGGAAAACAAAGTTAATATAAACATCCTACTTTGTTTTTATTAACTGAAAGAATCAAAGAAGTCAGTTTGATTAATAAAAGCCCTTGCGGTTGTCTTTTTGGTGTATTCTGGTATATATTCTTTACTGGTATGTGTGAGGCTGCTCTGAAAGTAATGCCTCCTAATTTATTGGGTTGGCCTATGACATCAGAAGTAAATGTTGGTGGTATGGCAAAAGGGGTTGAATCTTCTCACTGGTATTTCATTATGTTTTATTGCCATGTGGCAGATGGCAGCGGAGGGGCAGCATAACAAAATGGTATCTGACGTGGAAGTGCACACCAGGCAAGGAGTGCCATCAAGTTCCTCTGTGAGGAAAAAATGGACTCACTGAAACTTGTTGACACTTGCTGAATATTTGTGGAAAAACATAGGTGTGAGTGCAGTGAGGTGGTGGGTGGTGCGTTCCAGCAGTGGCTACAGCAACATGAAATATAAGCCACGTTGTGGATGGTCACACAGATTTTCACAAACATAGCATGCAGGCTCTTGTTCATTGTTGTTGGAGACTAGATAGAAAAATACTGTTTTGTAGTTGAGAATTTGCTCTATCAAACAGTTATTGGGCTCTTTGTAGCTGTTGAAGTTTCTGTGGAAATAAAGTACTTTGACCTATGTATTTTACTGTGTGACCATAATTCAGTCATTTAAAAATAATTTTGTTCTATTGAAAAGCTCGTTATACATGCAATATACGTTTTAAACCACAAAGTTAATATTAAAACTTTTCTGTTTGTAGTTCTTGTTCTGGAACTTATCCATTTACTAAAATGGATTATTTTGCAAATGCTTTTTGTAGGTAATCTTGGAAGAGTGGACTACATCACGGAATTTGAGTATGACCTTTTCATCAGACCAGATACCTGTAACCCACGCTTTCGAGTTTGGTTCAACTTCACTGTTGAAAATGTAAAAGAATCACAAGTAAGTATATATTAATTTAAATATGTACAGCTTTAAACATTGATTACACCAGAATATCTTATATTTTCCTTCTAAAAGAAAAAAGATGCTGTCCAGGGCTTGTAACTATCAATTTGTTGTAAAATATGTTTTTGTCCTTTGAATTTTGGTAAGTAAAAGCAATTAGCATTCTGGCTGGATATCACCATGTTTTTTCTGCTGTCTAAAACAGGTAATCATTACAAAGACAGCATAAGAATTACCACCTAATATTATTTGTATTGATAATGGCTGATGTATTCTAAATACACGTTTTTCTAATCTATATATGAAAACCAAGTCCATGATATGTGTTCAAGTCTTAGCACTCAAGCCTTCGTTTAAAACATCTAGAACAATGAGTTTGCATTCAAACAGATACTACTGTTGTGTCTCGTAACAGAAGAGAGGTAGTCTGTTTATGTTGGCCATGCAGAAAACATTTATCTTCAAATGTGAAAGAACTTTGATAGGAAACTGCTTCATCTACTTTTAAATAACGTATATTTTCATTAAAAAATGAAACCAGGACAATGAAAACACGATAAACAACTGGAGCAAGTAAGTATTTTTGTTAGTAAAAAAACAAGTGAAAGTAAAAAAAATATTTTCACATTGGCAAGTCAACAAAGATTTATTTCCACTTTCCATATGTTCTTCACATCTTATTCTGGTAGTTTATTGTTTATCACAATCAGACTCTGATTTTTCACCTAATGGGTGGAAAAACCCCACACTTAGAGAAAAACTGGAGAATCTTGATACTTGTATTCCTCTGAGACTAATATCTTTATATCCACCACTGTACTATTCCTGTTACAACTAGAATCATGAAATTGTTTGTTTATCTTCCTGGAGCCTGATAGTTTATCAGACAGGCCCTTTCCCCTGTTGTGCCTTAGTCAACTATGATCAAATTATATAGTCATGAGATGAATGAGAATCTGTCTCAAGGAGGCAAAGAGATCTGGTAGAAAGATACAATATATATCTAGTGCTTACAGGATATTTGTTTTCATGGTTGTCTACATGAAAGAGAACAGTTTCACTATTAAGTTTGACTTGTGAGGTCTGTTTTTATAATGTGTCTTCCTATAATCTTTTTTTCATCTCTCCAATTTCCGTTAAAATGAGACCTGCATGAACGTAATCTAGTCTGGAACCTTATTTAGGTCTTTGTGCTAGCAGACATGGCAGTATTAGTCATTGCATCTCAGCTATATTAAATGAATTCTAGAAATTGCTATTTCAAATGTTCTGTGTAACCTGGTTTGTGCATTTTGATTATTTTTATTGCTGTAAAATAACAAAAACCATCCCATGCTGTATTGCTTAGAACTGTTGCACTAATGTGCAAGTAGCTTCTATCTCTTTACTGGCAGAAGCACATATCTTAATAACTCTATGTAACTAATTGTCTATATAAATTATACTTATTGTTGCTGTAACATATAGATAATGTGATAGGTAGACAGATCTTTGTGTTAACACATCTCAGGTCTGTTTTCAGCCATTTAGATGAGGTTAATAAATTTACTAATATTTCATATTAGGTATATTAAATTACCTTCTTACTGTTCCTTTTCACTGTTTAAAAATCTTAAGTAGTTTACTTAGATTTAAAATAAAAAAATTGAGAATTTTCATATGGTAAGAATCTCTTCAGCCTCGCTTGATATGTCACACTAAAGCTTTCATTCATAACGAAATTTATTTCAAATTTATCATGAGAAAACAAGCAACTTCCTTTCACTATCTGGCTTAGCAATCATCCATTTCATCTTTCTTCTGTTGCATCCAACACTGACATCTAAAAGTGGCAAAATGATAAAAAAAAAAAAAAAAAGTGAATGAAAAAGGCAAGGTGGAAAGGCAAGAATGATACAAACACTGTATTTTTCATTTATTTTTCAGTTCAACTACTAGAAAGTAGTAATTTTTACAGTATATTTAGTGCACTGTGGTGTATTATGAATCTAGAGAGAAATATGAGGAGAAATCTTGGAGATATTCTTGTCAATCTCACTGTCCATGTGTTGTTCTGGTTTTTTTTTATAGTGCAATTTTGTCTTAAACCATGGAGCTTTCACCACTTGTATTTGGAAACCTTTCCATAGACTCCTCTCACTAATACCGTTGCTTGATATTTTGTCTAAAACTTTTCTCTATTTAATCACTTTATTCGTACTTGTAATTCTGCTTAATAACTTCTCCTGATACAAAAAATCCTCTCCATCTTTGACTAACATGTACATATGATATCACATTCTTCAGCATTTATCTCTTATCCTAGCTGTCATGTTTGGTTCTTTCTGTCATGTATCTGACAGATCACTTCAGCTTGCAGTATTTTTCTGCTTTGGGACTTTTGGACTTTCATAAGTGAATCTTTCCAACCCATTGATAATTAGCCAGTTTCCTAGGGAAACAAGTCTTATATGATCACACAGACTATGTTACACTTGCTAGCCCAGATTTTTGTGTGGTTAATGATCTTTCTCCATTCCCTTCTCTCTCAATAGCTTTTTAACTCTTAGCCAATTTCAACCCCACTGGACAGGAATTCCTGTAAGTTTCGGGAAAGTAAACAGCCAGATGGGCAAAAGACCCCATTAGTATTCCCACTGGCAGAAAGGCTGTAGTATGAGATCATTTCTTATTCAACATCAGAGAATCCACAGAGGAGATGCACAGGAAAAAGTACTCATTGAAATTTGCATATTTAAGATAGCAGAGAATCCAACCATGAAATCCAAATCCATAGCACTTAACGGTTTTACTTCTTGCAGAACTTCTTTTATTATTATTCCTCTTCCTATTCCTACAAAATTTTCTTAATAATATGGAACTGGCATTTAACAGCCAATTCTGAGTTCACTAGCATGCCAGCTTACAGACAAGAGATTCTGGTCCCTTTGCTCTGTTGCTCTCTTAGTATAGACAGCTGAAAACTGCAGCAGCCTTTTGTTACTTTGTCACTATGGAAACCCATACCTAATTTGTTGTTCACTATCGTACATAAGTCTTTTTCAGAGTGATTGCTTCCTTTCTTATGTTACACATGTGTTAGTTCCCTGTTGTACTTCACTAACAGGGGTAGGTAGAAGAACTGTTATGTAGCACAGCAGTGACAGCCAGAATTTTTTCAGAATTACTTTTAGAAATTTATGATAAAAGAAATTTATGATAAAATAATTTGATGTTTTTTGCTATATTACATTAGAACCAGTATAAATTTTCTTTCATGGGGAAACTGGTAATCAACCTCCTTTATAACTTGGACTTTCAACATCAACGTCATTTTGTTAGGCAAATCTTATGTTTTGTTTTTAGCAAGGAAAAATAAAGTAGATAATGGTTTACATTTATGGGCAGAAAGAAACATTATATAATATGCCTGTGAAGTGTAAAATTTGGCCTTCTGGTCTCCCCATATGGTTTCTGACTTGCAAGTCAGTTGGTCTGATAAGATCTGAACTGTGGATTCCTTTAGTAATTTCTTCAATAAATTCAATTAACACCGGTATGGGAACAAACAACAGAAAAACTCACAACTGATGTATTCTGTGTAAGGACTGTAATCATGCTATGATTACACTTACAGTAACCTTGAAAAGGAGAATGAAGAAAATAGGATTTTCTGTAGAACACCCATTCTGATGGGCAAAGCCACCAATTTCTCTAATTATACATCTATCACAGGCTACTGTCTATTTCTGGACAATGCTCCTTATTGGGTAAGGTTTTTTTTCCCATTAATTTTAACTATGGCCTCTACAACACTGTCTGTGATTTTGCTAACCTTCTTTGTGAAACTGAAAACTGGATGAACAAATGTCACATCTAGTTTGCATTTCAAGTATTTTAAATAGACAGTGCTTCAGATGCACGATTGCTTCTGAGCTAGAATGTCATTAAAGGTGTTAGAAGCAACAGTGATTAATTTGAGAACTAAGGAAAAAAAAAAAAGAAATGTGTGTACATGTGATAAATTATAAAAAAGAACTTGCAAGTATACCTCAGAAGATTTTACAGTGAAAGTAGTAATTATTTCATTTTGGGGCCATACTTAGGAATATTAGTTAAGGTGTAGACCATCAGTGTTCCAGATACAGTAGCCATGGTAGGGAAGGATGATCTCTGTACTGGCAAATTTACTTCTGCTGAATTTGAGAAGAGAAGAGATAAGAGTTGAATGCAGCAAAGTGATGAAAAGATGAAAAATATCTTTGAGGTTATTAATTATTCTAAAGAACAGCAGCCGTATTATACCAATGCACATTTAGGCTATACAATCTATTTTGTACGTGTATGTACTCTGAACAACTCTGCTGATGAATCATGCTCAGAAGTGATATTTTCACTGAGATTAAAAAAGAATTTCCAACATAAGGGTTTTCCTAATAGTGCCAAATTTTGTTCAGTAAGTGTTGATAAATACATTAGGAGATCTCCATCATAAAGATACTGACAAAACATATTGAGAAGGAGAGAGGAAAAAATTGGATATTTGGCAAAGGATTTGATCATTATCTATAGTTAGGAAGTAAACCAAGGTTAAAATCAAAGAATCAAATGTTATTTACTTAGAAGGCATTCTATCTTTTCTAATTCAATTGCAGCTGGATTGAGAATAGAATACTGATTCAAGTTTTCTTGTTTTTCTTATGTGTTTCTGTGGAGCAGGGCATAAGATAACTTAATTTTCTTTAGAAGTTAAACAGGATGCCAAGTTAAGACAGTTAATATATTTGGACATTATAAGTTCACAGAGATCTTAATAATAGTTTATTCTCCCTCCCCCACAGAATAATTTTAAAAAAGAATTAAAAAAAAACACAAAACAACAATAACCAAATTGCAATGTGTACAATCTTTAGTTTATTTTTCATTGTATTTTCAGTATATATTCATCACTGGCACTGGGCTTTTTAGTTTTCTCAGGTCTCTATTACTGTCCTAAAACAACCTGGAGATCATTA